AAATTTTAAATTCCGCTGTAAACTCTGTTCCGTACGGTATATCGAACCCAACAGTAAGTCCAGAACGAGCTATTTTTTTTTTTCTTCACAAGTGCCGATTTATTTTGTGTAGTGATTCGAAATAGTTGGAAAACGACATGTTTGGCAGTCGATGGATCCTGAGAGGGAAAGAAGGAATGGTAAATGCTTGCTAAGCCCGAAGGAAGTTGCGTTGTTGTTGAGGGCATTAGGTTTTGGACACGAGGCCCATATATACGTGGCGTCGGGTCAGATTTATGGAGGGAAAAAGGCTTTGGCGCCTCTAAAAGCTCTTTTCCCAAACATCCACACTAAAGAGACGCTTGCTAGCAATCAAGAATTGTCACGATTTTCATCACATTCGTCACGTATGGCTGCATTAGATTTCATCGTTAGTGATGAAAGCGATGTACTCGTCACGAATAATAACGGGAATATGGCGAAGATACTTGCCGGAAGAAGGTATTTTTATTTTTTTAGTTTATTCGATGTTCTAAATTAATCGATCCATGTTTTAAATGATGTTAATTATATATATTTTATTTTTTGCAGGAGATACTTTGGTCACAAACCGACAATCCGCCCGAACACCAGGAAATTAAACGAGTTGTTTGTTAACCGGAAAAACATGACTTGGGATGAGTTCTCTTCACGTGTTCGAACGAACCAAATTGGTTTCATGGGAGATCCAAGCGAGGCGAATCGGGTCACGGATAGCTTTCACGAAAACCCATTTTCTTGCATATGTCGAAATTTTGAACCATTTACAACTAATCAAATTAGAAGCACTTCCTTAAAAAGTCAAGTTATCCCACCGGAATACGATCAAGATTCGTCGGAAGTGGAATATTCCGACGATGATTGATGCAAGTAACCGAGTAAATGTAGTTTGTGCATATGGATTTTGACCTTTTTTTCGAGTTACAGTTTTTTGGGCCTAATGGTGAGGCTGCAAACTCTCCTTAACCATTGAAACTGAAGTCTTTACACTCATTTGGTTAATTTGAATTTTTCAGCAGTTAAAAGCAGAGTTATATACATATGATCTGAATGAAAAAGTAAAAATGGATGGTAACTTGTTCAGTTTACATTAGTGATAATGAAATTGGTATATGCGAAACCTACGCATAGAAAATCTACATTGGATTTATTATTACTAGTACGTACCCCGTGTGATGCACCTGACAAAAATATTAAATGAATTGTCCGTTTAAGTATATCAAGCAATATAATCTATTTTTCACCTATTTTAATCAGCCTTAAGTGTAATAAACAATAAGGTTATAATCATTTTTTAACTTCTTTTAATCAGCGTTTTTTTTTTAGTTAACTATGAGCATGTTAGGGTTAGTTTGTAAAATAATTAATATAATATTTCACTAACACATTTATACTAACATAAATTTGATTTTAATATATATATTTTCCTTGATATAAGAAAGAATAATAATTTTACTTATTCTTTTTCACCATATAATACTTAATTATTATTTTATTATAAACTTTGACTAGTACTAATCCCGTGCATCGCACGGGTAGGAGATATTAATTAATATTTATAAATTAAAAATACTCATTAAATAATATTTATAAATTAAAAATATTGAATCATTATGTAACACAATTTATCTATAGGTAAGAGATAATCGTTAATATTTACAAATTAAAACTATTTATTAAATAATATTTATAAATTAAAAATATAAAATTCATATGTAATACAATTTATTTATATTAAGTTATTGAAATTTTTTAATGACATTTAAATTTTCAAAATTACTTAAAACATGTCTATTTAAAATTAGTACAGTAACCCATACGGTGCACACATAACTGATAATAAAATGCATTATATTCATTTTAAGAAAAGTGTCATTTTAAAATTTTTATTTTGAAATTCAATTTGACTACTACATGATTCCTCAAAATAAATATTTTGGTAAATATTTATAATATATTTAAAAATCTACGTGAATAATAAGTATAATTATAAAATTTATATTGTTTCATTAGTTAAATTTTTTTTTGTTTTTTTTTTGTACAAATGATCCAAATTAAAAAAATTTAAATAGTTGATTAATTTATTAAACTATAAATAATTAACTATTCATTTATATCCAAGTTCATATAGACCCATAAGTTTTGAATATTTTACTTATCTGACTTTTAAATCTGAAACTCAAATTTGAACTAAACAATAAATTCTCTTATATATATATATATATATATATATATATATATATATATATATATCTCACAATTTTTAGATTTGTTTTCGGTTACCTTATGGTTCAAAATTTATTAGATAATTAGCTAGAATTAAATTACAAATTTTAAAATCTATTAAGCAATATTTGTTCAAAGATCTTTCTGATTTTCAAGATGAATACACCAATTTGTCGAATTATTATTAATATCTTATGGCAAGTTATTATGAAAAAGTGCGAAAATTTGAGAATCTTATTACCTTGATTTTATAACAAATTAACCTAAAATTTGACTTTCATACTCATAGCAATTAAAATTCATACCACCTATTTTGTTTTCAAAATTTTAAAATACAATTATATCCGTACCAAAATAAATTCATAACGTTTAAATTTGGACATTTCATACCATAATAAATCGCCCACTTTATTCTATAAAATCAGACATTTATTAAAAACAACACATTTCCTACAAAAAAAAAAAAAAAAATTAGATACCTAAAATAAAATCGCACATTTTATAAAAAAAATAGAATTGATTAATTTTGTCAAATTTATATCATAAAAATTTATTAACAAATTTCTAGATGAGAGATTTTTTATTATTTTTAAAATAATTTACCAAGTTTAGAAATTTTAAAATTTTTAGGCGGAATTTTAGTTTCTATTTCAAATAAATACAAATCTTTATATATGTATATACACACACACATATATATATATACATATATATGTGTGAATAATTTCGAGAATGTATATAAAATTTGCTATTGATTTTTAAAGATATATACACACACACACATATATATATACATATATATGTGTGAATAATTTCGAGAATGTATATAAAATTTGCTATTGATTTTTAAAGATTTAATTCCCGTAAAGGTACATATTTTTTGAAGAAATGAGATAATTTAGAATCTTATTTCGAATAAAATAGTTATATAGTTAATGATATTTTTTTACGGAAATTTACAAATATGTATACTATAATATATTAGTGTTTTTTTTTTGTTAAAAATAAGTCAATATAAATGAAATGAGTGAATCATGTAACACAATCTAGTATATAGTGTATATATATATATATATAATATAATTTCTAGCAAAACTTCTTCCAAAAGATGTTACAAAGGCATATATATATAGAAGTGCGCTAAAATGAGAATGAAACACAATGAAAGAAATAAGAATGATTCTGCACCATTGAATTAATCTCATCAATGATCATAATTAAGTCAAACTTTAAAAATAATGGTCAATCATTAATGACAATATAGTAAATAAGTAGTAATATTATGATCAATTATATGTATTTGACCATTAATTAAGGATATACATGTCATTAAACATAATAACATGGGACCCATCTACCCACTAACCATACTCACGCCACCTAAACCCACCCCTTACCCATTCTCTGTCACATTCCACAGACTAAAATAATGTATCTGTATCTAACACACTGCACACTAATCTACTCATCTCTCACACACTGCACACACACTTCACACACATACACACACACACGTACATATACACACCCAACCCGCCGGAGATTGCCGCTGCCTCTGCCAGTTTATGCCGCACCTCAGCCGGCCTCCGCCGGTTTACGCAGCACCTCAGCCGACCTCCACCGGAGAGTGCCTCGATTCAGGAGATTACCCAGTAGTGCCTCCACCGTGAATTCGAGCGTGCATCGGCCGTGCCCCCGTTTGGGCTTTCATCGTGTGTTGCCTTCTCTGGCGTCGTCCTTCGGCCACCACTCTGAACCTGAATGGGCGACGCTCTGCCGCGCCTGCAAAGCCGACGCCGACTGTCGCCGCTCCCGTCTCCTTCTTCACAGGAGACTCCAGTGAGCACCCTACGAGGTTGAATCTCAGGCTATCTCGTGGTTCACGTTGTCGGGGGGGATGGCGGCAGTCGGGGCGTGGTGGCGTCGACGCCGACTGCCGAGTTTGGTAGCGGAAAAAATGAGACTGAAATTGGGTGAAACTGGGGCTGAGATTGGGCTAAATTGGGGCTGAGTTTGAGTAACAGCGAAATTGTGACTTATATTGAAGCAAATTGGGGCTGAGACGGGCCGAGATTTGGGGAATGGTGGCTGAGATTGAGCCAAGGAAACAGATGTTTAATTGTTTCGGGGCTGAATTTATTTTTGGGAAATTAGATATAATCAGGGGACTATTTTGCAATTTTTGAACTTTTAATATGTGTATAGCTTACTTAAGAGCAATTTATAATTTAATAGAAATTAATTTATGCACAATAATAACACATTAGATGCACAATATTGTGCCTAAATCTGCACTTTAAAAAATATTGTCATATCTATACGAAATTATCATAAATATGATAAAAATGTCTGTTTTCTATAAGTGTTTTTTACCATATTTGTCTATAGATGTGTACTTTAAAAGTACAAACAAATAATCAAAACGAAAATAATTTTTTGAATTAAAATTTTGACATAAACGGTTTAGTTTGTTTGTTAACATAAATAACCGAAATAAATTATATTATTTATTCTAAAAGCATGTTTAGTCTTTAGTATTATTTATTTAATATTATATGTTTAATTAAAAAAATAATATATATGTAAATGAAATATAATGTGCAATCTATCAGTTATTAATGTACAATTCGTACAACACTACGGTGCATGATGTCGATCTATTTGCAGATTGAACAATGAACTTTAGAATCAAATTGAAACTGGACATAAATAATTGTTTAATCGGTCCGGTTAACCGAATTATCCTAACTAATCAAAATAATTTGTTCTTTATACTAAAATTATATTTAATATGTCAATAATATTATTTATATAATATATAAAATACCAAAATCAATAAAGTAAACACAAATGTGCATAAAGTATAACATTTGTGTGCATTCTATTAATCGAGTATTTTTCTATGAATTTAAATAGGGGCAAAATCGAATACATATGTTATTAACATTATTTTACATTTATTATATAACTCGTATAATTAAAATATATATAGTAATTTTGATTTTTTATTTAATATTTTATAATATTATATGTTGAAAATAAATAATAATATTTTTTAAATAAATTAATTTCGAACACATTAAATGTGCATTTCGTTCAACGCTATAGTGCACTATGATATTCACTAATGTGCAAAATGATTAATAATATTGTGCATTAAATTTGAGTTTCTTTGTTGTACTTTTTTTTTTAATGTTCAAATTCAAACTAAAAATTAGCTGAAATAATTTTATTATACGGTTGGTTGATCGCATTAACCTAAATTGATGAAATACTTTATTATTCATTATTATAAAAATATAATTTAGTAATTTAATATTTTTATATATTCTATTTATTATTTATTTTGTTAAAAATTACATAATTTATGTATGTATAAAAAATACGTAAATGATAATATTATTTTATATATGTTTCATAAATTGCAGATTTCACCAAGGGTGAAATTGAAATATATTGAAAATTCTCAAATTTGCAATTAGATCCTTGTGAAATATCAAATTCTCAAAACAAGGCCCTCAAACTCAAATCATACGTTTCAGTGTGTTCCGGCCAAAACGATCGTCGTCCTTGCCGTCGCGAATCACCCGAAAGAGATCAGGTGGCAGCGGCGGCCGACCCGACGGTGAACAGAGACGG